TCGCCCCGAGACCCTCCTCCACGCGCCCACCGCGCCCGCCCCCGCCCATCAGGACGAGCGCCCTTCGCCAACATCTTCCCCACGCTCTCTCGTACCCAGGCTCGCTCCCCGACACCCGCGCCGACACCCCACGCCCGCCACGGAGACGGCGGCCCCGTCCGCACCGGCCGCGGACCCCTCCTCCCCGCCCCCGACCCCCTACCCCGCGGCCACACCCGTCCCCTGTACCCGGTGGCCGCCCACCACTCGGTCACGCCCACTTACCGAGCCACCACGCTGGAGTACCACCCGACGACGCCCAAGACCCGACTTCCGGCGGCGAAGTACACGTCGTCGGCGCCCTTCGCGATCGACCCGCACCGCCTCCAGTCGTACCCGAAGCCGCTGCCCTACCACTCGCTCACGTCACCCGCCTCGCCCGCCCCGCACCCGCCCCTCCTCCACCCGCACCCCACGACGCCTCATCCGCCGCACCGCCCCCATCCCGCCCACCCTGCTTCCCCTCCCCCTCCTCCGTCGCCCGCGCCCGAGGTCTACGTGTTAACAACTCCAAAGCCAAACTATAACTACCGCCATCCACACGATCCGTCCTCACCGCCGCCGGAGTATCCACATCACCCAACCACGCGAATCCCCCTCCATCTTACACCCGCCAGTCATCCACATCCACACGAAAGTCACCCTCATCCACCGAACGATAAACAATATTACCACTCCACTCCTCATCCACATCACCCGCCTCCGTCCCCCTCGCCCACGCCTCATCCACATCATCCACATGCATCTCCCATTCCTTATTCACATCATCCAACTCCGTATCCATCACCTGCGCCTTATCACAAACATCCACACTCGCCATCCACACCTCATCCACATCATCCAATTTCGTATCCAGCCCCAGTTTCCCATCCACATCAACCTTACTCCGACCCAGTCCAATCAGTGCATCCACATGCACATGCACCTCCGTCACCCACACCTCATCCATATCCTCCACCATCACCACATCCACACCATCCACATCCGTCACCCACACCTCACCCACATCCTCCACCATCACCACATCCGCACCATCCACATCCGTCACCCACACCCCATCCATATCCACCATCACCACATCTACACCATCCACATCCGTCACCCACACCCCATCCATATCCACCATCACCACATCCACACCATCCACATCCGTCACCCACACCTCACCCACATCCTCCACCATCACCGCATCCACACCATCCACATCCGTCACCCACACCCCATCCATATCCACCATCACCACATCCACACCATCCACATCCGTCACCCACACCCCATCCATATCCACCATCACCACATCCACACCATCCACATCCGTCACCCACACCTCATCCATATCCTCCACCATCACCGCATCCACACCATCCACATCCGTCACCCACACTTCATCCATATCCTCCACCATCGCCGCATCCACACCATCCACATCCGTCACCCACACCTCATCCACATCCGCCGCCTCATCACTCTCCGTATCCACATCCATATCCACCTCCCACACCTCACCCACATCACCCGGCCCCACCCCATCCATATCCCTCACCCACGGCGCACCCCCATCACCCACCCACCCGTACCCACACTACCCGCACCCGGCACCCGCTCACCCTCCCCATCCACATCCTTATCACTCATACCATCCACCCTACAGCTCCTATTCCACGCCCTACCCCCTCATCCTCCTCACCCCTCTGTTGCTCATCTTCCTTCTGCCGCATCCTATCCAGCTCCTCACCCGCCTCCCCATCCGTCCGCCGCCCCCACCCGCCCCAGTGCTTCACCCTTCCGTGTCCCCCTACCACCCGCCCCCTCCCCCCTCGGCCACGCCCCTCCCCTCCCTGAGCACCCCCCACCCGCCGCGCCCCTCCCTCGTGGTCCCGAGTCAACCAAGCCCGCGCTGACGAAGGAGCAGGCGACCTACTACTGGCAGAAGTACTACCAGGACCTGGGCAAGTTTTTCTCGTACAACCCGTACTCGCCGGGCGCCCAGGAGCCCGTTCGGCCCTTGCCCAAGGTGTCGTCGGCCTCCCGCCCCCTGCACAATGGCCACGGCCCGCAGCCCCCCCTGCAGAGTCTGGAGGGGAGCGCGGTGGTTCCCGAAGGCGTCGTCGCTGTATCCGCCCCCCCATCCGGTGTCCCCCCTCGAGCCGCCGGCGCACCCTGCGCAGCGCACTCCCGAAGTGGACTATCACCCTTTCCCCCACCCCACTAACCTCCGCTCGCGTCCCTCCGCGCCCACTCGAACACCATCATCACCACACTCTCCTTCCGCTTCTCCCGCACCCTCTGTAGATACTATCTCTCCAACACGTCCTATTACCACTCGCGGCGAACACACGTCTACTTTGCCAGTGGATACACACCCTACACGCAGCCCGTCAACTCCTCCGTCGACCTTGCACAGCTCTTCATAGACCCTTCCTTAAACTCTATAGACAGTTCAGAAATTCCCCCTACCTCC